AAAGCTAAAAAAGCTAATAAAAAATGGATGACCCAGGACATATTAAAACTAATGGAAGAGAGAAGAAAGGCAAAATCAAATGTGGAAAAGTACAACATCTTAAACAGGGAATGCACCATCATATTTATCCAATCTGTTAAGACTGTACATTCCAACTCGCAGTTTAAGGTCATCGGCTGACAAAAAGACATTTATTTTACCATCTATGAAACTTAAAACAATGGGAGAAAGGGCATTTGAATACCAAGGCCCCAAGATCTGGAATGCTTTACCAAGTACTTTAAGAGAGATCATATCTTTTGATTCATTCAAATGTCAGCTTAAGTCGTTTCTGTTTTTAAATTAATAAGACGAATATTACCTTTTAGTCAGAACACGTTTTATGTTACTGTTGTACGTTGTACTGTATTGTAAAGCGCTCACAGCCTGTCTCTCTCTCTCTCTCTCTATCTCTCCCTCTCTTTCTCTCTCCACTCACTTCCCTACAGTAGAACACAGAGCAGCATCAGAAGCCACCACGGCCTGCCTATAAGCCTCCGGTACATCGTGGACCTCTGGTTCCTCCACGGACGACTCTTCCTCTGCGATGAGAACAAAGGCCGTGACCACGCCCGCTGCCATCACCATAGTGAGGAACACAGCCAGGAACAGCCAGCGCCTGGGGAGAGAATGGTGAGAGGTTTTGGTGAGAGGTTTTAGTGAGAGTTTTACGGCACTTGCAACACAATACGGTCATATAAATTATGCCGAAGAGTAGAGGTGTTACATGAGAGTAACAAACACAAAATAGAAGGAGGGAAAGATAAGGATGTTTGATAGGAAAGAAGGAGCAAACCACTCCAGAGCACCTTCCAACCACCCACATTGTCTGGAAAAAGCACAAAGAGAGTGGGGGGGGGGGGGGGGGGGTGACATTAATTCGCCCGGTAAAGAGATATTTGATGATACGGTAAAATAAGTTGCCCCACAATTTTTTTTTACGTTTTAGTAGAGGTTTTACGGCGCTCGCAACTGCATAAAGTCAATATATGAGCGCCAGAAGATAAGAGGTGTTACAAGAGATTTACAAACATAAAAAAGAAGATGGGGAGATAAAGACGATAGATGTTTGATAGGAAAGAAGAAGCAAACAACATCAGAGCACCCGCCAACCACAGACCGACATTTGTTGGACAAGGAAGTACAGTGACAAATCCACAGAGGGACAAAAACTCTTACTGAAACTACATGAAAATACATACATCATGGGGGTGATTTAGAGGGAGAGAAAAAGAGATGGGGGACACACATACAGAGAGAGAGAGAGAGAGCGAGAGAGAGAGAAAGAGAGAGACAGAGAGAGAGACAGAGAGAGAGAGAGAGAGAGAGAGAGAGAGAGAGAGAGAAAGATTAACTCGTTTGGGACGAAGCAGACACATCTGCCCGTAAAACAGCAGACCAAAGTCAATGTCTCAGCACATTTCCAACAATCACAACCAAATCAGAGACACATAACAATATCTGTGCATTTCAAAATAAGCATGATTTTGCCCATTTTTTTATAGAGTCAGAAAAAGGAAACAGATAAATATCTACATGATTAAAGAAGTTAAGCACCTTTTTTAAGTTCCTTCAAAACAGCTATTTTTCTGGCGTTCTCGAATATGTTCCCTCAAAGAGTTAATGAGAGAGTGAGAACGAAAGAAAGAAAATAAAGAGAGAGGGAGGGTGGGGCAGAAAGAAAGAGAGAGAGAGAGAGAGAGAGAGAGAGAGAGAGAG